CACTTTTAAACCATCCCATCTCGTTTTTAGTTTTTTCACCTCGTGTCTCTTCTTTCACGGATTGTTCCTCTATTTGTGTTGAGCCTGGCAGTACTCTGCGCTGTCCAGCTGAAACTCCATGTATGTGAGGATGCACTCACCAGGAAACTGCAATAAAACAAAAAGTGTACTTTACTCTCATATTACTTTTACTTGCTAATTTTAATTTAAATATTATACACGAAAAGAATCGGGATCATTCAGTTTACAGCAAATACCTATTTTCTTCTATTATTTTTTGCATTTAATAATAGGATATTTTAGAAGGTACAATATTACGTAAAAGTATAAATTAAATAAGTATAAATAAATGTTTATCGAATAAAATGATAAATATATTTGCCTTTAATTGTTACTGTTGGAGCATTTGAGAAGGCGTAGAGTCTCTTAATTTTAATTAGTTACTTGAATTCAAGTAAATTCAATTTAAAGTTGATAAGCATGACTAAAGGTTTCATATTGGTCGAGAATAAACATTAACCTAATTCTGTATTCACAATACTTCAAACGGTAAAAAATTTTAACATAACATTTTCTCATCTCATTAATGTTATTAACCTTTTAATTGAGATTCTTTTATTCGCCCATCAATATAATTGTTTTGATTTTATTATTAATAAACAATGATCTAATAATTATTATAATTATAAAATAAAAAAATAAAAATAAAAAAAAAGTCATGCAAGAGTTCATCTTTTTAATGAATGCAGAATATAATTTTAGACAATAATAAATGCGTAATAAAAATGTGAAATCAGTTGCTAGGTTTACAAATTTCATAAGTAAGTTTCTTTAAAATAAACATAAGACTTACTTTTAATATATTTCTTTATTTTTTACCTAATCTTTATATTAAAGAGATTATCATGCAAATATCAATACAATAATAATAACATAATTATTAATCGTTTACTTTTTAGTTAAATATTACAATATAAATATTAACTTGAAGTATATGTTCGAATAGAATAATAATATTCACTTAAATATTTATTAAATCCTTATTCTTATATACATATGTAAATGCCTAGATACATACGCGTGTGCGCATGCCTAGAAGGTGACAATAAATATTATAGAAAAGAAAAGAATTTAATTTTCTTAAATTTTATAAACTTGTCATAAATTTCTATTAAATATATTTATAACAAATGAATGTTTTAAAATCATCTATTCTATTTGAGTGAAAGAGAAACATTAAATTCATACGCATATCAAGAATGTTACATTTTTCAAAAAGTATGTATATACTGTCACGTGAAAGTAATTACTTATTTTTTATGTTTATGTGAAAGGATTGAAAGCTTTCATCTTGTTTACAAATAACGAAGCAACGAATCAATTGAATTATTCACTTACTTCATAAAGGATAAAAGCTTCATTTACAAAGAATTAATATCTTATTTTTAAAAGTTTGACGTAAATAATCATCGCGCGCTAACAATAATTTAGAAAAAAGAAAAGAATAATAAAATGTTATTATACACATCTTTTGCTGAAATCAGCACGCTCGGAATAATTTTTATTCAATGATTAAAAACGATGTTCTTAAGCAACGAATAGAATATAAAGTAACAATTAGAAAGAGAGAAAAATAATGAGGCGATGATAAGGATCAACTGTACGTTATTGTGTGATTTTATGTCTCATTTAACAACGACCATCAAGATGTATCGACATATTTGTTGTTAAGGCTTTGTTCATTTGGATATATAATGTGCTGCTACATACGCAAAGTAATGTAAGAGCACCTTGACGGACCTTAAACTTACACAGAAATATGACAGCGACAGATAGTATGAGGAGTTATTCTTAGAGGTGGCAAGCGAGACTGACTAATGCAGCTGCCAGTCAGCTAGTACTTTTTCCGGATATTTCTGTCTTGTTCACCAGAACTAGGAGATAGCTTAGATAGTATCTAGTGATATTTGAAGAGCAAGTCTGCACGTGAGTAACTGAACGCTTGAATACCTAATTATTGCCTAATACCGATTTGCTCGTGTAGTCAATCAAAATTTCGATCAGTGATTTAATCCAAGCGCTATTGGCGAGAATTTGCAACATTGTCTCTTCATTAGCTTAGACAGACTTTAATAAATGGCTTAAGGAATCAAAAACCCAGAATTTTTAGGAATAATGATTTAAAATTTTTTAACGTACTTCGATAGTGTAAGATAATAAGAAGTTTTTTTTATTTTCTAGTAAGTAGTCTATGTAGAACACTTGGTCGTTTGATACGTGAGATTTCGCCATACAAGAATGTTCCATAATGTTATCGGCCGCGTATCAATAATTAACAAAATGGAACAAACAATGATTTACTAAGCGGGAATGTCAAATAAAAAATATTCAAAATATCGCTCGGTCACGAGCAGAGCACGTGCGTGCACAGTACTGTTATTTATAGCAAGTAGTCGACGAAAAACAATAAAGTCTGATTTCTTCACGTGGAAAAATAAAATGAAACACAACCAATGCACGAAGAGAGATTTATAAAATAAAAAAAAAAAAAAAAAAAAAAAAAAAAAAAAAAAAATACCAGAAGTGGTCCATTGAATGGATTTACTCAACATTATGGAAAATTGAGAACCTGACCTGCGAACTGAGTAAAATTTGATAACGAACGAAGGGTGAAAATTAAATGTTCTCGTGTTTCAATTTTCTAGATTCACATGAAACAATCTGAGCGGCAGCTTCTATGGACGTCGTAGAGGCCTTACTCTCCTCGCCTGTCTGTGAATGTGATTCGTTGTTCGGTTTAACCGGGTGAATCGAATCACGTGTTTCAATACCTAATGATTACCATATTCCCATTTATTCAACTATTCATGAACTAACATTTTAATCCTATTGCATGGAACATTGTCACCACCAATGTTTGATTACATTTTCATTACCAATATTTGACGTATAACCAATGTTTGTTATACCTTTATTAATTTCAATTTTAGAAAGCTAAAATTGCATGATTAATATACCCTCCCATCGATGAAATTTATATTTATCTACTTGAGTATATTGACAAATCTATTTTTATTACGAACGAAATAAATTTGTCATTTAACTTGAAAACATATTCAAATACATAGACATTTGCATAATAAAAATTATTATTTTATCATTGTTATAATTATACGATTTGCAATCATTTAATAAAATTTTATTAATTATTTATTTATATATATATATATATATATATATATATATATATATTTTAATTTGCTTTCAACTACTATAAAATATTCACAATTCCTATATTGACAAATACGTTTTTTAGTCGGTTTAATCATGATTTTCTACGTACACGTAATTTGCAAATTAAACATATAAAGCTACAGTGATGAAATAATTATTTTTCATGAATATATATGATATGAACATAAAAAAATCATATCAAATTAAAGTTGTAAAAGTCGTTTGATAAATATTTTATAAATTTTATCTATATATTTGAAGAAACATTTCAGAATGAATAAAAATTTTTATTCATAGAATCATTTTCTTCTAAAACATTATGTAATTAAATAGTGATATTTTTTTTTTTTTTTTTTTTTTTTTTTTTTTTTATCAATAATAAGAAATTCCCAATAAAGTGTACAATTCTTACAAAATATTTGAATAAGTTTTACGATTGTCGTTCTTTGAGTATGGTAAAATTCACGTATACTGGAACGTAATTTGGACTTAACTGGAACGCAATTTTAATATACTGTATTTATTACTTACGCGGATGGATAGTAAATATTAACTGGTAACATTTTTAACGAATAATTTACTAAATTACCGAATGGCGCTAGTTAAGCTTTGCTAGAGAAGAAGGAGAAGCAAACTTTGCAATAATCAAAGAGCATGAGAGGGAAGACTGAAAGGGATAAGACAAGATAAGCGAGAAGAAGAGCGAAGTACGAGACTACAAATTGAAGGATTTGAAGAAACTTACGGAGCGAAACCGCTTTAGCGCTTGGTGAAAAGAGAGAAAAAAAACCAATATACGAAAGTCGTCGAAACGGGTAAAGTCCGAGCCACTGTGACAGTCTCCGCCACTTCCGTCGCTTCACGATTCTCGCAGCTCTTCATCCCACTTTCGCAAGTCGTGCCCGACGGCTGCCACTCATTTCGTATAGTCTAGCTTCGATTGGCAACCGCTTCTTGGGTCATGCGGCTAGCGCTCGAGCCCGTGCTCATCCCCTCGATTCAGTCGTTTGTAAAATAATTGTCGAAACAGAGGGCTTTTACATTTTTTTTTTTTTTTTTGCTTAATTTTCCAAATGGCCAAAGGCCGACGGTTAGCCTTACATTTACGCGCTCTTTACGTTTATGAAACAACACACAACGACTTTCATCCACTTACGCCAACGTGTTTTTCTTCTCACTGCCACTGTAATTATGTGCTTTATATAATTGCTACCACAGTTATATAAAATGTTCTTACGATCTCATCTATACTCCGACTTATTGTTTAATGCGTAGGCTGATTTTTATGGATATTGTTGCAAGGGCAAACAAGTTTCCTACGATTTTGGGCTTTTGATGAAAAAGTTTATCGTGTACGATGAAATTGCGAATGATTTACATTTAAGATAATAAGCATATTTATGTTATTTACTTTAGATTTGTCCAAGTATATTATTCAAGTATTAACTATACAATCGTAAATATT